TTTGAATAAAATTAACCTAACTTAAAAAAACTTAACTTAATAAAAATTAACTTAAATTAAAAACGAATCCATGAATACCGGTCATTTTTGTGGTGCAGACAACAACAAAACTATGACTTAATTATGCAAATGAGTCACATGGTTCAACTTAAAGGTTTCTCTCAACCCTTTAACTTCTACACTTGGAGAAAAGGAAGAGACATTTTATATTTATTTGAAGCAAATACAACCAGAATAAATGTTTTTTCACACTCGGGGCTCCACATGATGGTAAAAGGGGGACATTTAGAAAAAGTAAAAGTGATGACTCATGTTTAATCCCCTAAATATGATCCAGTCTGGGACTAAAATCTCCCCTTTGGAGGCTTTCTGAAGAAGCTGAGTCACCATGAGAGCAGATATTTTAGCATTTATTAGAATTATGACCGGCTCTGTGTAATAAAGACTGATTTTAAACTGGAATATTTCATTTATCACAAAATGTGTTGACATTTTTCCCTTTGGTGTTTTATTTAAGGGAGAATGGTCCGTTTTTTTAGAGGGTTTGTGCCCTTTTTTCCCCCCCCGAACCTGCTCAAAGTCTCATGTTTTTACCGTCTATGTTGGATTTTTCTTTATTATTTAGTTTTTTCTTGAATAATTTCTTATTGTCGTCTCTATTTATCAGGTCAAAGTTTAGTATCTGTATTTGTTTGCTGTACCTTTGTGTGTTTTTATAATCTCTTTTCAGTTTAAAACGTTTTTATTTTTGTGTGTGTCTGGTTATATTCTTGTCTTTTACCTCTATTTTTTTAATCTCAGTTTTTGTTTAGTTTTTTGTCTTTTACATCATAACTAAACACTAAACGAGAGGCAAGTATCATTTCAGAACACTTCTTCTCTAAAAAAACTTTCAAAGATTATCTTTCAACATCTAACCTGAGAGTGATGAAAACCTAAAATCTTTTTTACCCAACAAACCTCTAATAAGGAAGCTTTGTTTCCCGTTTAAGGCCCCTTTATTTTCCTTAACCTTTTAAAGCCTGATCCAAGAAAAATAGGAAGAATATTGGATTTTTTTAGTCTGAAGTCTTTCTTTGGCCCCTCAACAACATATGAAGAAAAAAAAACAGAAATTATTTGATCAAATTAGCGTGCAATAAGTCAGAAATCTATGTTGGTGTAGTCTTCTACTGGCTGTTATCAGGTATATCTGAATGTGTACAACAGGGGTTTGAGCAAAGCTTTTACCACTGAATGATGCAGAAAGT